TTATTATAAGCCTAATAATTATGTATCTCTCTATAAAATCTAGTAGTTTATCTAGAACAAGAATACGGGTTCTAAAGGTACCCGTATTCTTGTGAACTTGATACGTTGTCGCGCGCGCGAGAAAACGCGTCCCCTCTGGGCTGCGTTCGGAAACACTATCTGAGTACTCTCGTCTTATCCTTGTTTAACACTGAATGAATAACAAGGATAAAATGATACACGGGGACACCCGGGTGATGTTTCCGAGCGCTCCTGTCACACTGGCTGCGTTCAGCAGACTCAACAGTTTTGCAACCGTTTTATGATTATCTGCTGAGATAGGACCATTCTTTTAGATCTAAAAGAATGGTCCTATCTCAGCAGATAATCATAAAACGGTTGCAAAACTGTTGAGTCTGCTGAACGCAGCCACTGATAGGAGGCAGGAGCCTCCATAATCAATCATAATTAAGAAGAAGAAGAAGAAGATACCTGGCAGATTGCATCATTGCAATTGCATGTGAGTCGATAGTTGTTTTCCATTTGCACACAAGTGAACTGAGCCTGAAGTGAGCTGAATGTTTTATACTCGGATTAATGACATCATTATTTGCTTACTAATTTGCTTAAAAAGTTATCACATGATAACACAGGTTCATATTGTTCATAACCTCACTTTTAAAGTGAGTTTACGAGACTCATTAAAGCGCACGATCTCGATCTTGTGCAGATTGTAGGCAAAAACTCAGTTAAATCTCACTTGTCAGAATGCAAAAGGAACGCGCATTCAACTGAGTTATGACGTCACAAGTGAGAATTATCTGAGAATCGGTGTAAATGGAAAGCAACTAATGTGAGTCTGTTTGATCTAGTAGAGAAGAAAAGAAGAACTGACAGATCTTGCCATTACTGTGACATAACTGAACGAGCGTGAGTTCGTTGACATGTGAGAGAGGAGAAGACAGAATGTATGCGATCGATGACGAGGAAATCGTACCGAGACATTTTGCCGTGTGCAACTTTTACGGCGTAGAGACATGCTTCTGTTGGAACGCCGACAAGCTCATCATCTATCCGTACACGAAGGACAGCTCGACGCAGGTCACACAGGACGCGCGGATTCTGTCGACGCCAGCTCCTATCAAGAAAGTACAGTTCTTCGACAATAGAGCTTTCCTGATATGTTTGCCACAGGGTGCATACAAAGTGTCACGGAACGGCGAGTTCGCTTTGCTGAGCAAAAATGCATTGGGCATGGGTGGCGAGTTCTTCCAGGTGCTCATTGTCTGGAACAACGGCATTTATCTCGACAACAAACAAGTAAAGTCCTCCAAGCTGTTGTTTCCCCTTACACCGAATGCGAGTGAGATAGTGTGCACTTTTTCTCTGAATCCGGCGAGCACTGAGCCACAGCTCATGAGCTATTTCGCTGCCGGTTGGGAAGCTGAAGGAAATCTGTGCGTTGTCGGACATCACAGGAAGCTGTATACGCTGAGGACTGATACTGTACAGTTGATTTACACTAGTGACAGCACTATCGTGGACATCCTGCCTGTGAAGAGACGAGATAAGGTAGCTGGTCTGCTACTTCTTACAGAACAAGCAAATCTGGTAATCTTGGTACATGATGGAGGTGACAAGTGTGCAGAACATGGACCGGTTTTCGAAAGAATATATCTTAAAGAAAATGACAGCACGATGCTCTGTGCTACTTTCAGTCTACAAATGGAAAACGTTTTGTGGATGATTTGCTGTAATCAGTTCAGGACATATTACATAAGAAAGGAGCTATTCGTCGAAGCGGTTCAAGAGGTGAAAGTAGAAGAGAGGACGTTTACATGTATGCAGTATTATAAGCCAAATACAATTCTAGGTCTTTCGCAAAGGAAGGAATTGATTGAGGTGTCTCTAGAAGAGTTGGACAATTCTTTGTCAATCGATAATAATATCGTTCTTCATACTGCAATGTTTCAAAAAACAGATATTATCATGGAGAAAATTTGTGCCAAAGTGAAGGAGTTCGATGCACTCTATGAGAATTTGTCGGATGAGCAAGATACATTGAAAAGAATAAATATATACGCTGCCAAGCAAAAACTACAAATAAGTCCCAACATTAAGATATCTAGACTATGCAAGCATCGTTATCTTGGTTTACATATTCCAGATAAACTGCCTAAAAGCAGTTATGTAGTGTTCTCTTTTGCTTCTAAAAATCAAAGCACATTCTGCATGAAGAAAGTCATGAAAGGTCATGCACTCACGGTAAAAATGCCCATCAATAAAAATCAAGTATTACATTCTTCATCTATCAATATGGATTTAATTACATTGGTGAACGAACAACGTCCATGGTGCCTTGTACAGAATTTTATAAATTCTCCACTGCAGCAAATTAAGAGGAAAGGAAGACAAATGGAAGAAAAGACTAATTTCATAGACACTAAAATATCGTCGTTGCTACAATCAATAGCGGGAAAAGAATTGACCATGACAAAATTATGCGAAATCAAAAAGATCGTACGCGCAGAATTATGCAGATGTAATGATACTTGAACTGTTTATATATATTTAATTTGATATAAATATTTTAGATATACTTATTCTATTTGTTTCTTGTTGTATTAGAAAACACGCTATCTAGTTCTTTAATTAGAATAGTACTTTAGTACAAACTTTATGATTTCCTTAATTTGATATATGTAACGCTACGTACAGTATTGAGTTTCAAGTGATGAAAATTTTATATTTGTTTTATGTTCTATATTTTTGTACATATCCTATGTACAAGATGGATACTAAATACTCTAAACAATAAGGTGTGATTTTTCACAGAAATTCAAGAGGAAAACTATATAATCACATGTCCGAAACGACTTAATTTTAAAGATACAGGGTGTCAAAATTGAAGGAAAAATTTTGCTTTTTCAAAAAATTGTGAAAACTAAACCTATACAAAATTTCATCAAAATAACCCGAGTTACTCGGGTGGTTTTCGAGATTTTTGAACAAAAAATTTTTTCTTCAATTTTGATACTCTGTATCTTTAAAACTAAACCGTTTTGGATATACAGCTATAGAAGCTTTCGTCTTAAATTTATGTGAAGAATGATCCTTTACAATCTTTTCGGGTACTTAATATTCACCCTATATATTTTTATGTGCCTTAGTATTGTCTTCTAGAAAGATTTTATATACACACATATATATATATATACACATGTATATACATATATTTATATAATTACACAATTATAATACAGAAAAGATATAAAGTTGTTAGAAATTTTATATTATAATTCTTATATAAAATGAAAATATAGAAAAACGATGCGAAGAGAGAATCGGACAAACAATAAATTATGGCAGTTGTGATATCTAATTTCTAGACATTTTGTAAAGATAATTAAATATAATCTAAGGAAGAACATATATTTATTGTGATAAATATTGTTTCATATAAAACTTTGTCACACATCAGATCGGCTCTCTTTGTTACTGAACTCAATTACTGAAATTACATTCCTTTACAAGAGAATCCTCTCGCTTTTTAATTCTTCGCTTTGCTTATTAGCGTTGATACTTTTGGCGTATATTACATATGTAATTAATTTTTTCTAGTAATTAGAGGCAATAATTTTCATGCTTTATTTGAAAACGAATATAAGTATGCTAAGCAGGGGCCCAATGATCATAACATACTAAACATATGACAGTAAGTCTAAACTTACTAAATAAGGATTATCAAATCATTATTTAAAGATGATAAACATGACAAGTCTCAATAAATATAAATGTGAAATGAGCATACATATTAACACGACATTCATTATATTATACATATTGTGTGTAAATCATCGCTGTAAAAAATGTCACGTTTTATCTTCCATGCTATAACTTCATATATATAACAGTTTATTGTATCTAGACCTATTAGCCTGCAATAGAATGCTGTTACTTTTTTTATCAGGTGTAATATATTTCTTCTCTACATATAATATTTCTGTGTTTTAAACTCAGATAGTACAAAATATTAATAATATTCATCGCAGTTCTCTTATTGATTTCCTTTTTGTAAGTACTTCGATCAATAATTTAATCTACGGAGAACAATGTCAGGTAACCATTTCCTATCTCGTTACGTCCTATAGAATCCAAAACCAGATGTTGCACCTTGTAAAATATTTCAATAGAGGCAATTCACGATTAACAGACTATGCAGACGTATTTTAAATTAATTTCTGTTTTTCAATTCTATTTTGCTTCTACTGTGTGTTTTAAGTCTGCTAATATAGAATCACCTCGTGTAGATGCATAGAAAGGCTCGCTTTATGTCTAATAATTATAGTGTAGTTGTACATCACGTTAATGTATTTAATATACATATAAGTACTCAATTAACAACATCATAAATTATAATGTACATTTGCCTCATGACTTATAAAACAGAGACCAACAGTTAAGCAAATTAGACTTCTGAAAAAGTATTAACAATATTACAGTGAAAAGAAAGTTTTACAATATGATATAAGCATTCACTTTTAAAATTATGACAAAGATATTAGACAATTATAGTAAAAGGCAACTTTTATAATTTAGATTTCACACTCTGAATATTCTAGGGTATACTAGATTAGAAAAATTCTACTCTTAAATAAACATTTTCTTTAGCAAACATTTAATCTTTCATTTTCATGTAGTAAAATATCACTAAGATAATAAATCAGTCAAATCACAAATTATAAATTAAATACTTAATAAAAAAAGTTATTTAAAGTTTATGAAGAGAACAATATCAAAATCTCGTTTATATTTACATTTGTATGATACAATTATATAGTTTTTGTATGAATATAGTTTTAGCTAAATTATAATATTACATGTGATTTTAATCGGAAACGATTAAATTGTTGCTAAGGAAAGATCAAATGCAAATCAAGTAAAGAAAATCAAAACGAAATCTACTTCGTTTCTTAATCTTAACGGTACCGTAAGAAAAACAGCACATATCTCCTGTACTCGTCTTAAGATCCTTTCGTTAGGATAATAAATCAAGAAAAAGTGATATAAGTACGTGACTGCACTGGTTATGATAGGAATGTAACTAATGTATTGATAAGACTTCAGTGTCTTAAGAGAAAGAAAAAGCGGAAAGGAATACTCCTAGTAAAATTGATTTAAGCACACAACGATAATATCTATATAGAGAATTTGTTAAGGCACGTAATATAAGTACAAGTAATTATATTAATTATATACCAAGTCATTTCCTCGCTGCTACTCGCTAATTGGGCCATTTCAAACTATCATGTACGTTTAGATTCGCATACAACTAAAAAAAAGTAACTAAACTCCAGTTTTCGGGGGAAGTGACCTTTGAACAACATATACTAAACCTTCTTCAACCTTTTTTTCTCGTTCATTTGTACTGTTTTCTAATATATATGTATGTATGATGATAATATTCGACCGTGTGGCTAATTTCATATATTTTACTTTTGTTCTCTAACGAATCTTTCGTACTAAAATATATTCAAAATAATGTCAAGGCATTATTGCAGCGTAGTTTCTATCACTTTTCTTTCGATTAGCTAAAAACTGTACCCGCAATGCCACTCGTTTACTTGCATTGAAACAATCGTAACAATAGTGTTTTGATAGAACATTACGTATGCGACGCATACCATATAAAATCTAGAAATATAAACAGAATCTTAAGAAAGACAGAGAAGTCTTTGATATATGTAAGCGTAAGATAAAAGCAATTTTTTATTTTAAGATAAAAAAACCGACATATTATTAAATGAATTTTAATCCTCTTATTTTCTTTTTTTCGTGCGTAATTAGATAAGCTTCACACAGATATAGTCTTTAATCGAATATATCTTAATTTTATCATTTATTATCTATGAAATGCTATATTGACAACCGATTACGTATTATTCTCTTCTTTATGCAAACTATCGATATAAAGTTATTTTTTTATACTTATATGAAATTTACCGATTCACGAAAAACAGGTACAGTTTCTAAGCCAATCGCAAAAAACATGAGGTGCCTGTTTCGCGATAAATACCTAAATATTTCATGGAGTATCTAGTGTCACAGTAGCAAAATATGTCATGCCAGCATGTTCCGCTCTGTGTTGTTCGATGCTTTTAACGTTACTGACTTCGTCGACAGAATCGAGTGCTGTCGACCATTCTGCAAGCGTTAAGAATTATCCTGTTTAGGCAAGAGATTTGTTCGTTCCTCGTCGTTCACTTTCTTCATAGCGGGCGACATGCGTGCCACCTCGGACTGTCGAATGAGAACGTCTGAATCTAGTGCGTTCAATGAATCGCGTTTAGCTTGAATTTCCACTGGACTCGTTTGTGCCTTAAATACATATATTCGTCATCAGTTAGAAAGCAATAAATTTCACATTAGCCTAATCTTATCGATTCGAGATATCTTAACCCTTCGACAGTAATAGCTGGATCATTCCAGATTCGACAGACAGTTGTTAGTTTTTGCAGATTATTTGTACATCTTTTTACATACGCAAGAATATAAAAAAATCAAAACTGCTCGAAAACTGCTGCTTTTTTCCCTGTTATTTTATGTACTAGATTTATACGCAAAGTGACTTTTTGATTATCTAATAGAGTATCAATCAAGAATTATTCCAGCCATAGTCCTTCGAAGGATACATCTGAGGATTAAAATGTGAGACATGTAGAAACCTTTGCTGATGAATTTCTGATTTTGCCATCATTCCGGGGCGAGATAAACTTCGAATTCGTGATCGGACTGGCGCTGACCGGAAGCGGCGACGTCGGCGCCGTTACACTGCGTATGGGTGAATGAATAATGGAGCCCTTTCCCTTTTCGTTGTTAGTCATTCTATCCGCGGGCAATATTGGAGATTCAGGTACACTACGATCATCTTCCTCCAGAGAATGTAACAACTGCAAATTAATAAGATCGTCGGTCAGTTCGTCCAAGATTGGCAAAAAGTTTCGTGACAATTTCTAGTAGCTTGTGATTTATATAACGGTTACAACCTTCTCCACTTCATCGTCGAATTGTTCCTGACTAGGCAGCGGATCCTTTTGACTTCTTTCGAGTAGTGTAGCGCGCTTTGCGGCGAGGTACAAGGATCTCTTGACTTTTACGTAAAACACCTCGGTTACTGCGCGCACCGTGTAATCCGGTATAAAGGTATGACGTAACATTGAATCCAAATTGACAGATTGAATGCTTCCGACTGTCTGCGGGTTTGCGTTTGTAGGCGACTCGGCTAGGAATGAAAGAGCTTACAGTAAAGCTCCATTTACACGGGTAAACATTATCAAAGTGTATCTTATTCTTACCGATTCCAATGTTAGCCGTAAGAGCTTGTGATCCAAAATACGTGAAAGGGCCACTTTCAAACATCATGTTTTCTTTTCCCACCGTCACTTCGACGCGACCTTCTAAAATTAGCACAAAGTAATCGACCGCTTTTCCCTGCTGATAAATTATCGCAGCCGGATCAGTTTTGGCTTTCTCGCGCGATTTCACTTTAATGTGATAAATAATATCTTGCTTCAATAAACGTCGCAGAATCGTCTCCGATATAATGTCGGATTTAAACGTATCCACAGCTGA